AAATTTGTAAAAAATCCAAACTTGATTGGAATCAGCTCAAAATTCCTGCACAACATAAGAACATGTATATGTATAAGAAAAAATTATAAAAATGGAAAATTCTCAACTTTTTTATTTTGGGCGAAATTTGGCCAATGCCCCTGTATAATAGTATAGGGACTTTGACCCAATTTTTGAGCAACTTTAAAAATTCATAAAAAAATTCAAACTTGATTGTAATCAGCTCAAACTTTCTACATAACATAAGAACTTGTATATGTATCAGAAAAAATTATGAAAACAGAAATTTCTCTCCTAAAAATTTTAAACAAAATACCCTGTACCAGTACAAAGTACGGGGACTTTGGCCAAATCTTGGAGCATCTTGAAAATCCATTGACAAGATGCTACATTCATAAAGGCAGTGATAGACATTATTGTTCTTTTATTTTAAAGGTATCTGCTAGTGCTGATGATCTAACTTCTGGTGGTGAGGATCGTAACTCTATCCATTCCTTTGGGTCTAATCACAGTGGGGGAGGAGGAGGGGGCGGGGCTAAGATTAATTTTGAATTATCGGCAGCTGCTAACACCCAAAGCACTGTTGTCTGATAATAAAGTACACAATAATACCCACTGATAATAATTAATAATAATAATTATGACTTGATATTGTGATTATAATATACTCTTTATCATTCTTCCTCTCTCTCTCTCTTTCTTGGAACTACTCGTGTTGTTTGCTTGTCTTATTGCTTTAATAACATTATTATTATTATTATTATTATTATTATTATTATTATTATTATTATTATTATTATTATTATTACTATTATTATTATAATTGTTGCATTTCTCAAGAGGTTAGATCCACTCATAGTGATATCCAGTGGAATGGAGGAGTAGAAATTACTAGTAGTAAATGACAATGATACACAACCAGGTCATTCTACAGCTGGAGAGTAATTTTTATAAGAGAGAGATTGAGAAATAGATAGGAAGAGACAAGCTTCATAGATACATGTACATGCAGTTATGTGTACAGTCAGTTCCATTACCTGTACATGTACATGTACTTCATTCTGTTGATATTCTATTATTGGAATACTTTAATGCTGTAGCTACCATCACTAACTAATGACATCATCATAAAATCATATAGTGACTGTGATATCATAATAGTATCTACCATTGGGTGGAACTAATCTTAGCTCTAGATATGAATATTGTGAACACATACATGTAAATGTAATGTACATATTTTTAAATGGAACTTCCACCCACTACTGCAGTGAATCATTATGTGTGCTTTGTTAAAGGTTAGTTAGTGTAGTGTTTGTACTGTAGACAAGATTCTGTCAACATTTCCAAGATGTCTTTCCTTTTATGGAAGTATATTTGGACTCTATTCAGGAAATATCAATATACACTGACTACTTGTGACAGGAACTGGTTCCTTATTCACCAGCATTGTGCTAAATAGCAATCATTAATATAAAGCAAGAATCAACTTGAAACAATCAACAAATGCCTAACTGTAGAATTGACTTATTAATTACAATACCCTCAAACATGTGACTTCATCATGGTAGAATAAAACAGCATTCTACTTATAAACTATAATTCAACTATAATGAAGTAGCTAATTACAGTAATTACATAAAGAATGGCAAAATAACTATTTAAGAACTATATTCTTGTATACATTCCAGCAGATTAAGCATTGCACACTAAAAAAGCAACTACTAATAATTTTATTCTAATTTAACAATGTAACTATAGTTTTAATTAATTTGAAATCCTGGCATACCATTAAAGCTCTTTTGTTGTTGATCCTATATTAATATTAGTTGATTATTATTAGTAATTAATTAATATAATCTCACTTATATATTCAGCAACTGTTGTATCTCCTACTTCACCTACAGCAATAGCTAGTTTATCCCATGTTGCTTCAATATCATCTGTAAGCCATAACGCTAAACATTCTCTGAGACATCGCTTAGCATCTCGTGGATAGTTATCCTCAATTGTCTTTAGATCATTATGAATTAGACCCAAGTAGAGACCAAGATCAAACCATTTTTTGTTCTGAAAGTAACCTTTTTCTAACACTCGTATGATATCTACCAGATTCTTGATAGTCAATATGCCTATAAATAAAAATAAACAAATGATATGAAACCAGTGACAGTGAGTGCTTATACCTTTATGTTGATCATCATTGGACTCACTGGTCTTTGTGGGGGAGTGAATTGCAGTTGAGTCAACTTTATGAATTGTTGGCTCTGTTTAAAGTAAAAATATGAAACAATATAGCTTAGAGTGATATGAATTAGCTAATCTTACTATGATCATCTTTAATGATAATCTCTTCCAAAGGTGGAATCTGGATTGTATCAGTACAATAAATTATATTACTGTTACTAATAAATTTAATACCTCTTGGAGTTGTCTTTCTTGCAACATATTGTCATTAAACCACACTGATTCTTCATCATTTAGGTGGCGAGGGCATCTTTCCATTTTGCAGTAAACAGGATGAGAGCATGTCTGATTCTCAGCATCAATGTCTTGAATGTAATGGACTTCACTGAAAGGACTGCATTGACACACATATTGCACTTTCCTTGATGATCTATCAGCATGATGACCATGGTAAAGACTGAGAGTGTCTTCTACTTGTTGACAACATTCCTCTAATATCTTCAATATTTTTTGACAAACTAATTTGAGAGAAACAGGATGACTACTCTCAGGGGCATATCGCAACACATCAACTTGAATAGCTGTATGAACATCAGTGAGAACAAAATCATCAGAAGGACGACCATAAGAAAAGCAGACACGATTACGATAGATACTTTTTATCTCAAGTTTAGAGGTCCGATGCAGTAGTCGATCAAAGAAACCAGAACCAGGTACTGCATAAACATAACCATTTTCAAAATTGAGCTCAACACTGGCATCAGTAGCAACAGCAGTTGCTAAACGAGTGAAGAAGCCAGGAGGTACATACCCAGTGGAGAATGTAATGTGTACAGGTGAGGCTCTTAGCTTATAACCAGGTCGTACTTCATTAGGATCACCTGTGTATCCTTGTAGCACTGCTGGAAGAAAATATTGCTTGAATCTGCTATCATAAAGCTCAGTTTGAACTTGAGCTGCAAGACGAAAATGAACTAAAAGTTCTATTATTTCTTCTGGATCAATACCACTTGACCTCCATACTTCTTGATAGAGTGATTGAACAAGAATACCATCATTTCGTAACAAATACCATCTTCTTGTTCCACTCCATCCTTCTTTGCATCCTTCTAGTGTGAACACCTTCCCAATAGTATCAACAAACCATTTTGGACTGAGAATGAGTTTATCTTCCAGTCCTTCTATTTGAGGATAGTAAAGCACAGCTCCCAGCTCATGGTAGAATTTCAATACTTCAGGAACATCAGCTGCTGGTATATGACATGTTGCTCCAATGGCAATGGCAATAGATACACTAATGACATTTAGCTTAAGCTCTTGCAGAATTTTCCGAAAAAGAACCCAGTTAATAGGGGTTTTGATGACTAGCTTAGTGATAAAACTATCAATAGATTCACGTAATTTTGCAATATTTGAATCTTCTCTTTCTCCCTTTCCTGAGGTTGTATTATCAATGATTAGCACATCTTTAATAAGATCTGAGAACTCTTTCTCCTCATACAGGGACTGGATTTGCTTCTTTACTTGATCTCTCTTCCATTTTGCTTTCAGCTTGTCACCACGAGTGCCAATACAGTAGAGATTAGGAGAAGAAGTATCATCTTTGTTGTGCTTCATGAGGTGACTGTGTATTGTAGACATCCATTTGGCCATTAAATCACTTGTACTTTCATTCACTACCTCACCAAACAGCACTTTTCCATCAGGAGTATTCTGACGTGACTGCCATCTTTCCCTGAAATCCTTTGAGGCATCAAACAGGAGGAGAAACATTGTACGAGGAGTGAGGAAGGCTGGGAGAATCTCAAGGAACACTGGCTGACCACCACAATCCCATATATGAAGAAAGGGCTAAAAATTGATAGCATTATGTTATAATGTTATTAAAATATGACTAACTTGAACATGTGCCTTTGTTGTGAGTGTTTGAGAAGTGGAGCCAGCTTTTTTTAATACTGATTGGATATGACTTTCTACATTCAGAAAGGAAGCTATTAAACTAGTAGATTCTAATTCATCTTGAGAATTTTGTGTGTTAGATTCAGATGCACAATGTGAGGATAGACTAGAACAACTTGATTCAAACAAATGTGCAAGTTCCTGAATTTCATCTTCTTCTGTGGCTTCTCTCCATTTGTTTCCTCTCATTGTTTGCCACTCGTGTCCAAATGGTCGTACAGAGGATACATCAGATACAATGGTGCTTGTAGTATGAGGATTGAAAGGTTCTTCCATTAATGAACGCTTGAGAGACGTCTTGCCAGTACCAGCTGATCCCAGTAACATAAGACGAGCATACGCTACATCAGCACTTCCTTGTTCTTTGAGAGCTCTCTCATAAGAACCTATAGGTACATGCACTAACATAAATGAATAAATATAATAGTATCTTAGTATAGGAAGGTTTTAAAAAGTCAGCAAACATACTTGTATCCTACAAAATAATAATGACGTCAGGATTTGTTGAATAAAAAGCACATCACAATGGTATTATAAAAAAAGAATAAAATTACACATTCACATGTGAAGTGACTTACTGGCTGAAATTGTGAAAAGCACAGTTCAGTAAAGTGTTACAATGGTATCACAGAAGAAAAAAAATTACACATTCACATGTGATGTGACTTACTGGCTGAAATTGTGAAAACCACAGTTTAGTAAAGTGTCACAATGGTAACATAAAAGAAAAGAATAAAATTACACATTCACATGTGATGTGACTTACTGGCTGAAATTGTGAAAAGTACAGTTTAGCAAAGTATCACAATGGTATCATAAAAAATGAATAAAATTACACATTCACATGTGACATGACTTACTGGCTGAAATTGTGAAAACCACAGTTCAGTAAAGTGTCACAATGGTATCATAGAAGAAAAGAATAAAATTACACATTCACATGTGATGTGACTTACTGGCTGAAATTGTGAAAACTACAGTTTAGTAAAGTGTCACAATGGTATCATAGAAGAAAAGAATAAGATTACACATTCACATGTGATTGACTTACTCCCTGAAAGATTGCAAATAACACAGTTTAGTAAAGTGTCACAATGGTATCATAGAAGAAAAGAATAAAATTACACATTCACATGTGACATGACTTACAGACTAAAAGATTGTGAATAACACAGATTAGTGAAGTGTCACAATGGTATCATAGAAGAAAAGAATAAAATTACACATTCACATGTGACGTGACTTACATACTAAAAGATTGTGAATATAACACAGTTTAGTGAAGTATAACAATGGTATCATAAAAAATGAATAAAATTACACATTCACATGTGACATGACTTACATACTAAAAGATTGTGAATAACACAGTTTAGTGAAGTATCACAATGGTATCATAGAAGAAAAGAATAAAATTACACATTCACATGTGATTGACTTACTCCCTGAAAGATTGCAAATAACACAGTTTAGTAAAGTATCACAATGGTATCATAGAAGAAAAGAATAAAATTACACATTCACATGTGACATGACTTACAGACTAAAAGATTGTGAATAACACAGATTAGTGAAGTGTCACAATAGTATCATAGAAGAAAAGAATAAAATTACACATTCACATGTGATGTGACTTACTCCCTGAAAGATTGCAAATAACACAGTTTAGTAAAGTATCACAATGGTATCATAGAAGAAAAGAATAAAATTACACATTCACATGTGACGTGACTTACATACTAAAAGATTGTGAATATAACACAGTTTAGTAAAGTGTCACAATGGTATCATAGAAGAAAAGAATAAAATTACACATTCACATGTGATGTGACTTACTCCCTGAAAGATTGCAAATAACACAGTTTAGTAAAGTATCACAATGGTATCATAGAAGAAAAGAATAAAATTACACATTCACATGTGACATGACTTACATACTAAAAGATTGTGAATATAACACAGTTTAGTAAAGTATCACAATAGTATCATAGAAGAAAAGAATAAAATTACACATTCACATGTGACGTGACTTACATACTAAAAGATTGTGAATATAACACAGTTTAGTAAAGTATCACAATGGTATCATAGAAGAAAAGAATAAAATTACACATTCACATGTGACATGACTTACAGACTAAAAGATTGTGAATAACACAGATTAGTGAAGTATCACAATGGTATCATAGAAGAAAAGAATAAATTTACACATTCACATGTGATGTGACTTACTGGCTGAAATTGTGAAAAGCACAGTTTAGTAAAGTATCACAATGGTATCATAAAAGAAAA